GGGAGGAAGCCCAGAGAGATACTAGGGCCAAAAAAGGGCTTGTGTTTGCTCATAAGTTGATATTTTCTCTAGTCTACAAACAAAAGTAAGTATCCACATCACCACTTCCAAATTCAGGGCATCATGTAACTGCATGATCTAAGATCAAGAAGGCCAATCGGGAGTTTTACTCCGACACTTTGTATCTCTCTAACATTGTAAACCAGAAAACTTCTGTATACTTATGCATTCGTTAATGTCTCGGATGTGCTTGCTGTGAGGTAGGCTCTGTGATAGGCTGGGAGTAAATGGATGAGGGGAGCACATGGGATAAGGTGCCATTTGTAAACAAAACAAAACAAACTTTGTGTGAACATTAATTCATCAACTTGGCACAAGTGGGAGACAGGAGCTGTCTCCTTCTTACCTCTGCAGCCCCTGCCTCTGTAGCAACATGGGAAGTGTCCAGTGATCACCTAAGTGAGAGCTCTGTGAGCAAAGTAAACCCCAACTAAAGACATGCGTCATGACAGAGGCACTTTGCAGAAGGACAGGAGAGGACACAGTTCTCAGTTAATTAAGCCACCAAAGAATGTGAGAAGCAGCAGAGGAGGGCAGCCCCTGAGCATCTTATGGTAGCGTTTCCCAAGTGGCTTTTGTAAAATACTTGCATGAAAGAAGAGCCTCTGGTGTCAGGACTCCTAAACAGAACTATGATTTCTTCTCCCTTTTCATGAAAGCATTAGTCAGGCTGAGCAAGGTGGCACACACCTTTAATCCCATGCAGAGCAGCTGGACCTCGGTGAGATGGAGGCCAGCCTGATCTACATATGGAGTGCCAGGCCATCTGGGGCTACAGGGACACTCTGTCTGAAAATACAAAAAGAAAGCATTGGTCAGAATTCAGATCTCATGATGAGTTGAACCTTGACAGGGGATCCTGTCACTTCAGACAGGAGACTCTTGGCAGGTGAAGGAAGCTTAGAACACATATTCTGCTCTGAGGTGAGCCTACCATCCAGATCCGTCAAGATCTGCCTGTTGTTCCTCCTCAAAACCAGATCCTCCCTCCAGGAACTGTTCCCTAAAAATAACATCTTAGCAGAAGACAATTAGTTTGTCTCTTTGTCAGGCCATGGCAAGCCCAGCCCAGAGTAGAATAGTTGTTCACTTTTGATTAGACTGAGGCCAACTTTAACATAACTCGTGTTTTTAAACAAACACTAGCTAGCCAGCTAGTGACATGTATTTTAGCCACAGAGTAAACATTCTTCCCTTTCAGTTTCCTAGGAAAATTGACAGGCTTCCAGAGAGTGACAGCAAAGTGTCACGAAATAAAAGATTTAAGGAAATGGACAAAGAAGCAATTTCAGTTTGTATCTTTGATGATACACTTTAGATGCACCTGATTCTCTAACATAGCCTATTGGTACTTTCTCACCCCTATGACCAAGCAGTAGTAGAAAAGTTGATTGAATATTTGGACATCAAGCTGGAACAGAAAAGCTAAAACCTCTTGGATAATTGACTTAAAATTTGAATATTTTTCCATTATGCCAAAAGACATACTGGAAAAAAACAAATAAAATATGCATTACACATTGCAGCCTCTCTACACATTGAAAGGCAAACATCAACTAGTAAAAATTTTACTATTCTTTAAAGTAAAATTATTTAAGAAGAAATGACACACTAACTGCAATTTCTTTTTAAGGCAGTTTCCACCCCTTTTACACTACTAAAGAATCAATTACTGAACTCCAAGCTTGAATTCGGAAAGAAAAGCTTATGCTGGTGTCCTTAATTGCTGGCCCTGCGGTCTCAGATTCCAGTGTGCCCACCCGGACGCATCAGGGCTGCAGGACACTGGGTCTCTCTGTCATTCTGAAGTGGCCCTAAGAACTGCTTATGAAATGGACTGAGGATGTCCGTGGCATTTCATAAAAGCAAGGGACCACTTAGATCTCCAGGGTGCTTCCAGGTGTGGCCTCGTTGGCCTGCAGCATTAGTCAGGATTCCATGTATTTTGTCCTAGAACTTCCGCAGTGGGCTGCCTAAATCTCAGTGAACAGCCACTTTGCATAGGTGCAGTTGTGCCGCCACACCGCTAGGGGCGCTGCCCTGCACGTTCCTACTCACTGTGGAACGTTCGCCACTTTCTCACTCCTGTGACCAAGACTTCTGAGATTTCCTGTGATCCAGGCTTTGTCTTCCTATTTCCAGACTAACAGATTTCACTGACTGTAATCCAAACTTGATCTCAGTAAACATGAGTTCTAACTTTCATATATATCCATTTTAATGTACCACTTTCTATTCCTTGCTTCCTGTCAACACCAATTCTTTGTATTAATTAGCATAAAAAACAAAGGGTTTTGTGATGATTTTAAACATGGATATCATTGTATTTTGCCAAGATTCACCACATCACCCTGTCTTGTCTTCCTTCCCTTTCTGTGGGTCCTCTTCTGGCCCCCAAATGGTCCCTTTTCCCCTTTCTGCTCTATGCAATGTATATAACATGTATGTTGTGGCATGCACTGTAACAGCAGAAAGTGGCAGCTGAAATGCAGGAGGCAGCATGTCCTGAAAGGAAGTTTGATCTCTGTCCCGTGGGCTAAAGGAGGTAATGAAGGTTTTGAACAGTGCGCTGAAGAGATGGCTCCGTGGTTAGGAACAGTTGCTGCTCTTGCAGAGGACCCGGGTTCCATTCCCAGCACCCACATGACAGCCAACAGCCATCCATAACTCCAGTTCCAGGGGAATCCAACTCCTCCTTCTGACCACCACCGGCATTTCAAGACATGGGTGCGCTTACACACATGCAGGATAAAATGAAAATAATAAAGTAGTTTTTAAATGGGCAGATGTGGTTGTGTGTACGATCTGGGTGTGCAGACATTATTATTTGTGTGTATGACCTGGGTGTGCAGACATATTATTATTTGTGTGTATAACCTGGGTGTGCAAACATATCATTGCACCATCAAAACAAGAGCAAAAGAAAATGACAGTGGAGAGTGACAGAAAGGAATGGATTACATCACAGTGACAAGACAGATCCCTTACTCATTGTTCTGGATTGTAGTGAACCAAGGAACATCAAGAAATCAAGGATGAGCCTGGCCCAGGACTTAATTTTAAGTGACTTGGCATGTGGTGGTTCAAGCTGGAAGGGAACTATAGGAGATAGAAGCAGATAGTGTTAGGGTTGCCGGCAGATTTTCTGAAGGACTTAGTAAAGATAATGAGTGCTATTCTCAACCTACCTGGTTTGACAACAGATGTCCACACAGAGAATTCAAATAGATCATTAACCTAGAGTCACTAGTGGCTCAGCTGGTCATTTTGCATTCTGACTGCTACCTCGGGTACCATACTAACAAAACAAAAACAGGTAGCATTAATGAATAAAGACAAATCATTTTATATATTGTTATATCTTCTCATGTGGCAAGTATAAATCTAATTTATACAAATGATTTATCCTGTGTACTAAACAGTTGTCCATGCTGACAATATTTATCTTTTAGCCATGTTTTGTATTTTAAATAACTCTTTTGCTCATTTTTAAGAATAACAACCATCATAGCCATGAATTCCAAATATGATTTTTTAATGATTTCAGGGATGTGAGAATAGTTTATTCCAAATAGGATACAATTTGAAACATTTCCTCCTTATAGTATGCCATATATATATGTACGTATGTATGTATATATATATGTGCGTGTGTATTATTCATACACATATATATATATATCTTATGTATATGAGTGTTATGCCTGCATATATATGTAAGCGCACCCATGTCACACAATACCTGTGGAGGACAGAAAAGTGTGTAGGACCCTCTTGAACTGGACCTACAGACAGTTGTTAGCCTCCATGTGGGTGCTGGGATTCAGATTCAAACCCCAGTCTTCTGCAAGATCAGTCAGTGCTCTTAACCACTGAGCCATCTCTCTGGCCCCAGGACTTTATAAATTTTTTGGTAGGACTAGTTCATTATACTTCCTAAGTCAAGGATAATTTGGCAGCATCCCTGTCAGTTTAGGAAGAAACACAACTATAAACAGAATTCCTATTTTTATGTGGATGGCACACTGTGTGTACTCTGTGTGTGTGTGTGTGTGTGTGTGTGTGTGTGTGTGTGTGTGTGCCTGTGTGTGTATACACGTATGTGCATGTGGAGGTCAGAGGCTGAGGTCAAGTGTCTTTCTCTATTACTTTCTACCATATGTTCTTGAGACAAGGTCTCTTATTGAATACAGAGCTCTTCGATTGGACTAGGCTGGCTGGCCAATGAGCCCCAGGGAGCTGCCTGTCTCTGCCTCCTCGATGGTAGGTTTGTGGGCATGCGCCACTATATCCAGATTTTATGTGAGTGTTGGGGATCCAAACTCAGGTCTCATTATTGCATGGCAAGCACTTTACTGATTGAGTCATCTCCTCAGATCCTACTTTTTGACCCTTTAAAATTCCAGTTGTCTTTTAAAGGTAAACATATTATATTAGCATGATTTGTGATTAGAAAATGATGGGTAAAAGAATGTGTGATGAAAAAGTCCTCATAATTAGCGTAACCTGAAATTCAATATTTTATGTTGTATTTCATATGTATTTAATCTATTACATATAATAGTCTCTGAAGTCTGAATAAATTATAGAGAATAGAATCATTTTGCACAAAATTATTTTATGAAACCCAAAGGGAAAAGCATGTTCTGTCATTTGAATCTGTACTTAATTATGCATATTCTAGCTATCAGCCTGTATTTTGAGCAAGTGATATATACAAAGAGTAGACTAGAAGATTCTGATGTCTCTTGGAAAAAAGGCAGGTTGAACAGACGTTTTTCATCAATGTGTGTTGAATTGTATTCGTAACTTTTCTAAAATGAATGTGTCCACAAAACGCAGACAGCCATGTATCCTGCGATTTCTGCAAAATAGAAAATGTCAGCTTTCCTTATTGGAAGTGTTCTAAATGACACTTTTTTTCTGTTATCATTGAACAGGGAAGGCCATGGTAAAATCTCAGTGTTTGCTGTCAAAATGGCCTTGGCCACATTGTGTGGAGGGAAGATCATGGACAAATTAAGATGTAAGTTATTCCTTTCTCTCTTGCCGGTCTATCCTGTGCACTGCATGTCCCTCCCTTATTTCTGCCATGTCCCTCTGTCCACATGTGTCTTCCCTCATTCTGTGAGAGCTGTTTGCAATGTAGCTGCCTTTGACCTTTGAATTTTGTCATAGAAATATTTGCATACTAGATAAATGTTAATGATATGTACATGCCCCTCTACTTTTGAATTATTATTATTTAAACTTCTCTGTGTATCACCAATTAAGTATGTTCTGATATTAAAAATAACAGGCTGGGTATGGTGGCACACGTCTTTAATCCCAGCACCTGGGTGACAGAGGCAGGCAGATCTCTGTGAGTTCAAGGCCAGCCTGGTCTGCATGGTGAGTTCCAGGTCTGCTGGAGCTACAGGGACACCCTGTCTCAAAAAGACAAGAAAAAAAAAAAGCAAAAACTAAGATATGGAAAGTGGGTTAAAAATAAATAAATAAATAAATAAATAAATAAATAAATAAATAAATAAATAAATAAAATAACACTCTTTATCACTGTATTGGGCTCCCTTATAGGCAGACCATCAGCATAAGGTCACAGAGGGTAAAGGGAGCAACTTTCTCCTCTGGATATTCAGAGACAGGAGCTCCTGGGACATTTCCCAGTTCTTAATCAGCCAGCACTGCTTGTCACTGGGAACTCAGAAGTTTCCAAAGCAGAGATGGCCAGAGGACAGACAGGGATGGCAGGAGACATGTAATTAAGAAGATACCATTAAAAACAAGACAGCCTAAGAGCTTTGAGTGATGATGCAACCTTCATGTGTTTAGACATGGAATGGACTACAGATTCTTTTTCTTGTGTGTGTATGTATGTGTGTATGGTAAATGTGTATGTGTGCATGTACACGTTTGTGAGGGTTTACACTCCTCTGTGTATGTACATGTAGGCCAGGGTCAAGCAGTTGTTCTCCGCCTTATTTTTTAGACAAGGCATCTCACTGAACCCGAAGCTCACTATTTCTCTATACTGGTTGTTCAGCATGTCTTTAGGGTTCTCCTGTCTCTGCTGCCCCATCCCCCACTGAGCACTGGGTTACAGATGCTACCACATGGGGTTTTTATGTGGGTGCTGCGGCCCAAACTCAGGTCTCACGCTGGCTACACACACACCCACTAAGCCATCTCCCAGCTCTTACTACAATTTTTAAATCAACACAGTGGGATTTTTTTTTCATTTGTTTAAGATTAAGAAGCTGAATCCCATTGAGTTAGTAAATTGCACAGTTAAGGTGAGAACAGGATTTGAACCATGGCTGTTTTTTTTCTTACATCAATGATTTCCAAATTTTAACATCTGTTAGAATGTTGTAAGGCTTTTCTGCTTGCTTGTTTTTATTTAATTGAATTTTTGTGATTTTCATACAATAGGTTTTGATAGTATTTAGATTCTGTCCCCTATCCGTACCTCACCTTATTGCCTTCTGCCCAGTTTAATGTGTATTATATGTAATAAGGCCTACAGAATCTAATTTGTGCCACCAAACATTCTTCAGTGTGGTTCCATTCACTGGAGCATGGTTAACCTACCAAAGAGTCCTATCCTAGAAAAAAAAAAACTGTCTCTCCCTCTCCCAGCAGCCAGCAGTTGCCAAAATTTCCATAGGTTGGGTTAGGGTTTCCTCCCCATTTCCCGTGTCAATGTTGGGATTTTGTCTAATTTGAGCTTACATAGGACTTGTGCATACTGTCACCATTGTTGTGAGTTCATATGAGTAACTGACCAGCCGTCTGGAGGACTGTTTCCTTGTGGTCATCCACCCCCTCAGGCTGTTATAATCTCTCTTCCCCCTCTTCTACATTGATCTCGGAGCACTGGGAGACAGAAGTTTGAGATCTCATAGCTAGATGCCGGCTTTGAAATCTTAGCTATGCATGTTTCAGTTTGGAAACTCAGAGAGGTCAAGAAACCAAGAAATAGTCATGGGGTGAGAGAATTCCTGGGAGGAGTGCAGTGATATAAAGTGGGAAAGAGGAACATTAGCATAGGGAGAGCTAAATGTGGTGGAGAATGGGAGGGCAGGGCAGAGGAAGGAGCATAGAGAGGGATAATAACACTAAAGGCCTTTAGGGAAGCCATATAGAAACCAACCACAATAGAAGCTTCTTAAA